CTTCTTTTGCATCGGCCCTAAAACCTCGAGACTGTAGTTGCTTTTTTTCGTTGTAGATTAGTTGATCAGTGATTTATTTGTTTTTTGTTGCTCTTGGAAATGCAAATAGTACTCTGGCAGCACAGCGCACACTTCTCAGGCTATCTCTGTCCTCTGGCACGCCTGCTCCAGACCCGTCGCCATCTTGCTCCTTCAAAGTTGTTTTAATTTTGCACTTTCACTAGCTATGTTTGAGAGTTCTGGTCTCCACATTCTGATCAATATTTGGTATTGTCAGTCTTTTAAATTTTAACTTATCTAATGAATGTTCAGTGGTATTTTCATTGTGATTAGCTTGCATTTCCTTGATTACTAATGATATTGAGCATCTTTTCATGTGATTATTGGCCTGTTTTATATCTTTTTGTCAGCGCCCATTTATCCCCCCACTGTTTCTTTATATATATATATATTCTACAAAGAAGATCTTTGTCAGATATGTGTGTTGCAGACTGTAGCTTGTTTTTTGCTCTTTTAGTGGTGTCTTTTGATGAGAACTTTAAAATTTTGATGAAGTCTGATTTCCAAATTTTTCTTTTATAGTGCTTTTTTGTGCCTTCTCTGAGAAATTTTTGTTTACCTAGTGATTGCAATGTTATTCTATGCTTAGTTTTAGAAGTTTTATAATTTTGTACTTTTACATTTTGTTCTGTTATTCATCTCAGATTAATTTTCGTGTGTAGAATATGCTAGGAGTTTAGGTTCATTTTTATCTTATACAAGTATCTAAATATTCTAGCATTATTTATTGAAAAGACTTACCTTTTTTCATAGAAACAATTTCCTTAGCATCTTAGTGAAAAATCAGCTTACCATAATATGTTTGGGTCTAATTTTGGATTCTGTCCTTTTCCTTTTATCTCTTTGTGTGCCCTTATGCAAATACCAGACTTTCTCGATTATGTATGAATCTTTCACATTTGTTCTTTTTATTGAGGATTTTTTTTTGACTATTCAAGTCTTTAGCTTTTTCACGTAAATTTTATCAACTTTTTAATTTCTGCTGAAAATCTGTTGGAATTTTGATTGTAATTGCATTTACTCTGTAAGTTAATTTAGGAAGAATTGACATTCTAACAACATTTTATCTTCTGATCTAGCAACCTGGCATCTCTGTCCATTTATTGAAGCCTCCTGTAGTTTTTCTCAGCATTATGTTTTGGTTTCTATTACATAGGTCTTGCACGTCTTTAGAAAAAATTACCTAAGTATTTTATATTTTTTGATGCTATTGTAAATGCGATTAAAATTTTTATTTTGCTGTTTTTGCTGCTAATATATAGAGATTGCATAAATATATTTGTTGATCTTCTGTATTTGCAGCCTTTATGAGTTCACCTATTACTTCTAACAGTTTTTGATGGTTAAAATCTCACTGTGCTTGTTATTTTGTCCATTCCTCTCCCTAAGTTTCCTTCGTAAAGAGCATATAATTGGGTCTTGGTTTTCATCCAGCCTTATAATTGTCTTTTAATGGGAGTATTTCATCCATTTACATTTAATATAGTTACTATTATGATCGTATCTACTATTTAGCTTCTCGTTTACTTTAAAAATTTTTATTTTGTGTGTTGTACTTCTGTCTCTACTTGCTTTCTTTTGATATATTTGAATAGTTTTTAGTATCCCATTTTAACTACTCAATTATAGTTTTTCAGCTGTTCTTTATTATTGTTATTATTTTAGTGGATGTTCTAGGGATTACAGTGTACCTCTTTAAGTTATCATCATATGTCTAGAGGCAGCAATTTACCACCTCACATAGAATGGGAAGAACCTCACAAAAGGATCATTTTAATCAACCCCCGTCCTTTGTACTTTTTTCATATATTTTCCAAATAAATGCATACATAATTTATCCCACAGTGCAGCAGTGTGTGTGTGTGTGTATAAAACCATTTTCAATGTTCTTTATTTTTGTCTTGTGGGTTCAAATTTCGATTTGTTGTAATTTTCCTTTGTTCTAAAGAACTTCTGGTATTACCAGTTTGCTGGTGCCAGATTCTCTGAACTTTTAATTATTTGAGAGTATGTTAATTTTACTGCAAAGTTTGAAGGATATTTTCATTGGTTATAGAGTTATGAGTTGACAAGTTTTTCTTTTAGTACATTAAAAAATGTTTCATTGTCTTCCCTCTGTTTCAAATGAGAAAACAACTTCCTCTATATCGTTGATCCCCCACATGTAATACATCTTTCTTCATAGCTATGGACTTTTACGATCCCCAGTTCTTTGACTTTCTGTTGAGAATGGACAATATTCCAAGTCTACTACTTTTTCAGAGCTCTCCCTTCCTGCTTAGCTTAGTTTAAATTTTATTGGCAATCATAGTGATTAGTCTCTTCACAACATCCTCTACTCCCTTATCTCTCTCTCACTTTGTCATTTGCTAAGTGATACCATAGCCTTGGTTAAATCCAACATAACTGCTTACTTGTTTCCGTTCTTAAGCAGCTGAATGTGGCTGTAGAAAAGGATAAACTTACACAGATCTCACTTTTAAAGTCATAAGCAACCAATTTCCAGTGTACCCTTACTCTTGCCTTGCAATCATTATGTTTTTCTTGTTCTATTTTCTGTCCCACTCTCCTGATCAGATCTTGTATACGTCTACCAATTTCATCTAATACATATTTCCACATCCTTACTTTTGGCTCATGACCTTGCTTTACTACCTTACTGGAAAAATTGAGGTAATCCAAAGAGAATTTTTATAATGTCCTGTCATCACATATATTTGTTACTTGCATCTGTGTAAATATGAGGATACTTCAAAAATTTTATTGGAAAGATTCATATTATCTTTTAATTCTGTTTTTCCACAAACTTTTTGACGTACTGTTGTATATTCTACATTATCTTCTGCTACTGTGGATGAAATATTCATGCATCTAGCTAAGACAACTTTCGTCTTGTGCACTATATTTGCAGTTTATTGCCTTGGCAGTTCACACTTTATTTCCTACATCATCAAATTTTCACTCTCTGAAAGATCATTCCCTTTAGCATTACACATGTGCTGTTATCTTTCACATCTTAAAAAGACAAAAAACAAACCTTTGAGTCTACTTTCCAGTGTTAACGGCACTCTTATTTCTTTTCTTTTTATAGCAAAACTTTATAAAAGAATTATACATATTGGTCATCTACATTTTCTCTTCTCTTTTTTTCTTGATCCTCTACAATAAACCTCTCTAGGTCGGGGAGGATGATCCCCATGTTAAGTTTAATGGTCAGTTCTTCGATTCCCCATTTTTCTTGACCTAAGTGAGACATGTGACACAGTTTTTCCTTTTCCTTATTAAAGTACTTCTTTACTAGGCTTGTTAGGACACCACTCTTTCTTGATTTTTTTTTTCTTCCTATCTTTTTGGCCTTTCTTAGCCTTTTTTTTTTTTCCTTTGCTGTTTAAGTGTGCTAGGTCTCTGCTTTTGGGTCTCTTCTCTTTTTAATCTCTACTCATTCTCTTGGTGATTCCCATCCAGTTTCATCATTTTAAGTGTCATCTATTGATCAGTGACCTTGACATGGTTATTCCTATCTAGTCCTCCTTTCTGAAATCTCGTCCTTCTTATCCAAAGCATTGTTAATGTCTCTATTTGGATGTGTAATGAGACATCACACATCCAAACATTTTTTATGTTTTCTCCATTTTGTTTAATGGTAACTCTGTTGTTCCAGTTGTTTGGGCCAAATATCTTGGTGTAGTGCTTGGTTCTTTTCTTCATTTCATACCCATATCTGATTTGTCAGCAAATTCTTTTGGCACTGTCTTTACAAAATAATTTGCATAAAGCACTTTACAAAGATTTTCTAACCATTACCCCCACTGCCACCACCCTGTTCTCAGGCACTATGTTATTTTTCACCTGTGTTATTAACTGGTCTTTCTTCTGCTCTATTCTGTTTTTATATAGCAGCACAGTGATTCTGTTTTCAGGTCAGAAAATGTTACTCTTCTGTTTCAACCTTCCACTGATTGCTGATTTCCTTCAGAGTAAAAGCCAAAGGTCTTGCTGTACTATAAGGTTTGCCTCTATTACTGCTGACTTCATCTTCAGCTCCTCGGCCCGTCTGTGGTTTAGCTCCTGCCATCATGGCTTCTTTACTATCATCAAACATTCTGAGCATGTTCCAGTACTTTCTAGCATGGTATATGTTTGACTTATTTGATTTTGTTTACAGTCTGTGACCTGTTAGAATGTAAGTGCCATGAGTAAAGGGGTTTTCTTTTTAAAGCACTGAATATGTAGCAGATTTGCCTGACATGTAGAAAGCACTCAAAATTCAGTTTTCCCTTTAATAAATGAGTCCCCCTTTCACCTGTTTGTTTTTGGGTTTTTTTTTTTAACTTTATTTTCAGATCCGAGATTCTAATTGCAACTATGAGGCCTTTATGAACATTATTAAATTAAGTGACAATATTGGAGAGCTAGAAGCAGTAAGAGATAAGGCAGCAGAAGAATTACAGTATCTTAGATCTCTAGATACAGCTGGTGATGGTAAGTAATTCATTTAATTAAAAAAATATTTTCTTTAAGGATTATTATATCTTCAAACAAAACATTGATTAATTTACCTAAATGTCACTTTATGCTATTAGGTGTTTTTACCTTTCGTGTTATGTTAATGTATGCCTAGAGTAAAAGCATTATTTTTTGAATGTGAGGCTGTGATTATTGTAATTGTCCCAAAAGTAAAGATAATTGGCATGGTTCAATTTTAAGTGAATAATTTCACTCTGCTATTTCCGATGGTTTCTGTATAATTGCTCTATTAATTAGTCATTTTGTTAAAATTTAGTAAGTTCATGTTTAAAGTATTTCACAAATAGCATTTTCACTTTCTAGCTCATAATCAATTTGTTTGTTTTTAGATATCAACACTATCAAAAATCAAATAAATAGCTTATTATTTGTAAAGAAAGTATGTGACTCAAGAATACAACGGTTGCAGTCAGGCAAAGTAAGTGAAGTACTTTTGAGTTAACATTTAGCTGTAAATATTTTATAATTATTAAAATGCCTAGTAAATGACAAAGAATAGAATATTAACCAGTGAAGGACTTTACAACAGGACTTTCAGAAAAGTGTTTTCTTATACAATGTAGTATAAATATTATTAAAGCAAGTCAAGGATTAAATAAAACACCGCCTGAAAAATTCTAACATAAATAAAGATTTTATTTCATTCCTTGATTTATTTATTCATTTTCTCATTTATTATTTATTCAAAATTCAACATTTATTGAATTTTGTGAATTGGACACCATCTTAGATAGATCAAACAGACAAACTCTCATCATGGAGCTTACATTTAGTTGTAGAGTCAGAAAATAAACCAGTAAGCAATTTGATATATAATATCAGGTGTCTCTATTTGGTGCAAAAATGATAAGTAGAACAAAGTAGGGTACAGAGAATATCTAGGAGTGTTTTAGATAGGTGCTGAGAGATTTGATGATATTGAGCGTAGGGAGATCTGAATAACATGAGGGAGTTAGTCCTGTGATTTTTGTTGATTTTTGAAGAATCTTTCAGGAAGAAGAGAGAGCAAGTGCAAAAGCCCTGAGATAGGAATGTCCTTGGTGGGTTAGAGGAGATCAGTGGCTAGTATGGAATGAACATGGGATTGTGCTGGGAACAGAATTATAGATGAACCTGAGGATTAGATCATATATGGTCTCACTGGGTATATAGTAAGATTTTTATTTTATTCTAACTGTGATGGATTTCAATTGGAGATTTGACCTGGCAATTGGCATGTCCTGACTTATGAGTTAAAAATGATTATTTTTGACTCTTTGTGAAGAATAGACACAAAGCCTATTTGTGGTGGAATGGTGGGGGCAAGAATGGAAACTGAGAGACCATTTATAAGACTGCTTTTAGACTAGGTAGGAGATGTCTGTGGAGATTGTGAAGTGACTGACTGGATTTCCTAATGTACTAAACGTGGCATGAGAAAGAAAAAAGTACTCACAGGTGATTCCAAGTGTTTTTTGCCTGATAAACTGTGTGAATAATGATGCTGTTTACTGGAATAGGTAAAACTGAGGGCAGAGGAGCTTTGGAAGGGAAAACCAGGTTTTGGATATTTTATTGTGAGATCCCTGTTTGACATTCAAGTAAACATACTAATTGGTAATTTCAAGTTCAAGGGAAAGTTTAGTGATGAAGATAAACTGCTAATCCTCAGATTATCAGATGTTTAATGTTAAGAGATTGAATGAGGTTATCTAAATGAGTGAGTGTAAGTAAGGTGATACCAATGACTTAGTTCAAAGGCACTTCAGTGAATAGAGTTTTAAGACAGTGTGGAGGATCCAGCCAAAGAAAGAGTGAGATTGAAGAAAAACCTGGTGGTGTGATATCCTAGAAGCCAAGTGTAGAAAGTGTTTAAAGAAGGGAAAGGTCAGGTATGTCAAAGGATAACACTGAGTAAGATGAAGACAGAATTGACCATTGGTTTGCCACCACGGGAAGTATTGGTGACCTCATGAGAGTGTTTTTGGTGTAGTGGAGAAAAATCCTGATTAGAGTCTGACCAGGAAAGATTAGAAAGAGATGAATTAAAAACAGCGGTGATAGATAGCTCTTTTAGAGGGGCTTTACTATGAAGAGAAGCAGAGACTTGGGGCCTTTAGTTTTTAGTATAGTCAACTTTTTTACTCTGGTTTTCTATTTTGAAAATTTATTTGTGACTCTCGTCTTGTAATTTTGCAATGTATTTAAATTCTTTAAGAAATAGAAGAATTAAAAAAAAATCTCGAGTTTAATTTGCTATATGAATTATGACTTACCAGAACATTAGTTGAGGCTCACATTTGTCGTGTGTGTGTGTGTGTGTGTGTGTGTGTGTGTGTGTGTGTGTGTGTGTGTGTGTGTGTGTGTGTGTGTGTGTGTGTGTGTGTGTGTGTGTGTGTGTGTGTGTGTGTGTATCGGTATGTGTATGTTTTGGTTAAGTGTATTTTAAAACTAGCCTATATGCCCATGCAAATTGGAATAGAAGAATAATATGGTTTCACTTGTGCTTTTCTTTAACTGGTCACCTTATTTAGATCTTATAATTAGTGATCTTTCAGCATCATTATTTAAAATCTATTTGCCCAGAGACACTTTTTGACTTTGAATCCTTTTAAAATTTAGATTTTTTTTTTTTTTGGAACCCTTTCAGTTTGCGTTTGAATATCAAGCTTTTCCTTTTTATTAGCTTGTGTCATACAGTGTTTTCCTTTTGAAAGTAACCTCAGAATCCTCAGATTTGCAGTTTCATAATTACATTACTTATCTTTAAATCTTAGAAGACCCTTTGTCCTTTTATATTACAAATAAAGTTATAGTTAATCCTCTTCCTTATACCATATCTGTGGAGCTGCTGCTGGGCAGGAGAAAGAAGTGATAAAATTTGAAGAAGGGAGGCTAAGGTAGTAGAAATCATGCTGGCACTAGGTTGCTGGATGCCAGACATTTAAAGTCAGTTATTTGTTGTTATCCAGTACTTCCATGAAGGGAAATACGAATTACAGAGATAGATTTGTTTTTTGTTGTTTTGTTTTTTCTTTATTAAAGTTCTCGCTCTTCTTTATGTACCCAACTTGTGCTTAAGTATTTGCACTTGAATAAGGCAGCTTATCTCATTGACAGTAAACCTGCCTATCTTTTTTAGAGAGTTGTGAGATATGGATTTGAGAATATAGAGAAACTAGTGAAAATAGTTCGCAGAAATGTCATTGGTTTTAGTAGAAAGAGCAGCAGAATTTGAAAACACAGATTCATACCTTACCAGCTTTGTGATCATAGGCATCTTTCTAATTTTTATTTTCCTTATGGGATTGGTGATAGATATTCATTCAGATGCTGTGCAGATTGAATGAAGTAATGTGTGTAATGTAACTAACACAATGCCTGACACACAGATGTGCTTTAAATTTTAGACCCATGTTTTCCTTTTTTTTTTACATGTAGTTACTTTACTCTATGTCTTTGGAAAGTATATATAAATTCACTGTTTAGATAGTCTGAAAATAAATACATTTTCTCTAACAACTGTAGAGTTTTTACCCCATTAGAAGCAAAACTTCTTTTGGGGGATCTTTTCTGTCTTTCCAATAAATAGACTCTAATACTTAAAAATGTTGAAATTTGTTTATTCTTGGACATATTAATCATTTCAAGCATCTCTTTCTCCTTTTAGCTCCTGAAATGTTTATTTTCATTTGTAATATATAGAAATTGAGAATACTTGAAAATACAGTGATTTAGATTTATTTTATATGGGAAGAAGTTAATGCTTATATTTTTAATGTATATTTGCTAAGCAGCTCTTAAAATAACTAGGAATTTAGATTCATGGAACAAGAGTATTTCGTTGGGTAACAGCATGCACAAGAATAAAAAAAAACTTTGTTCTTTCTTCATTTTAACTTAATGTTGGGTTTTTTTCATATATTTATGTAAAGATCTTTAACCTGATTTTTATGTAAACATAAAATATTAACTCGTATTCCCTTTTTTCTGTAGGAAATAAATACTGTGAAACTGGCTGCAAACTTTGGGAAACTTTGCATAATTCCCTTGGACAGCATTCTTGTAGACAATGTTGCACTACAATTTTTTATGGGTAGGTAAATTTAATTTATTTAAATAATACAGCCATTAAATTTTTTTCCCAATTTTTTTATTATGGTATAGTTCACATAACATAAAATTTAGCATCTTAATTATTTTTAAATGTACAATTCAGTGATATTAAATACATTCATAATGTTATTCATCACCACCGTCCAGAACTCAGTTCACTCTGTAAAACTGATACCTGTGTTCAGTAAACAATGTCTCTCCATTTCTCCCTTTCCTCAACTTCTGGCTACTATAATTTTACTTTCTGTCTCCATGATTTTGACTATTCTTAAGTATCTCACATAAGTGGAATTATACAGTATTTGTCTTTTTGTTACCAGCTTACTTCACTTAGCATAGTGGCCTTCAAGATTTAACCATGTTATAATATATGACAGAATTTCCTGTCTTTCTGAGGCTGAATAATATTCCATTGAATAATATTTTGGTTATCTATTTATCTGTCAATAGATAATTGAATTGGGTTTCTTCTGTGTTTTAGTTATTATGAATAATGCTGTTATGAATATGGGTATACAAGTATCTTTTTGAGACAGTGCTTTCAATTCTTTTGGGTATATACCCAGAAGTGGAGTTGCTGGATCATACGGTAATTCTATTATTAATTTTTAAGGAGTGGCCATGCCATTTTCCACAGCAACTGTCCCTTTTTATATTCCCACCAACAGTGTAAAAGATTTCCAAATTGTCCATATCCTCCCAATACTTCTTATTTTCTGGTTTAAAAAAATTTTTTTTTGATAGTTACTATCTTAATGATGATATAGTTGTAGTTTTGACTTGTATTTTGCTCATGATTAATGATGTTGAGCATCATTTTATGTGCTTATTGGCCGTTTGTACATCTTCTTTGGAGAAATGTCTATTCAAATCTTTTGCCTATTTTTTGCCTATATTTTGTTGAATATTAGGAGTTCTATATGTATTCTGGATATTAATCCCTTATGATATATATAATTATCAAATATTTTATCCCATCTTTTGGGTTGCCTTTTTACTATGTTGATGTACAGTGGTTTTTGATGCACAAAATTTTCAGTTTTTCATGAAGTCCAATCTGTCCATTTTTTCTTTTTTATGCCTGTGCCTTTGGTGTCATATTTAAGAAATCATCAAATTCAGTTTCCTGAAGCTGTAAACCTGTGTTTTTTTCTAAGAGTTTTTATAACTTTAGGTTTTATATTTAGGTCTTTGTTCCATTTGAGTTCATTCTTGTATATGGTATCAGGTAAGGGTTCAGTGTCATTCTTTTGCATGTGTATATCCAGTTTTCCTAGCACCATTTGTTGAGAAGACCATCTTTTCTCCCATTGAATGGTCTTGGTGCCGTTGTTGAAAATCATTTGGCTGTATATATGAGGGTTTATTTCTAGGCTCCCCATTCCTTTGGTACATATGTCTGTTTTTATGGCAGTACCACGCTATTTTGATTACTGACTGTGGCTTTATGGTAAGCCTTGAAATTAGAAAATGTGACTCTTTCACCTTTGCTGTTATTTTTCAAGATTATTTTAGTTACTCAGGGTCCCTTGAGATATGAATTTCAGAATGTTTTTTTCTATTTCTACAAAAAATGTCTTTGGGATTTTGATAGGAATTGCACTGTATCTGTAGATTACTTTGGGTAGTATGGACGTCTTCACAATATTAAGTATTCCAATCTATGAACATGGGATGGAACATGTTTCCATTTATTTGTGTTGTCTTTAATGTCTTTCATCAGTGTTTTATAGTTTTCATTGTATTGTTCTTATACCTTCTTGGTTAAGTTAATTCTTAAGTATTTTATTCTTTTTGATGCTGTTGTAGATGGAATTGTTTTCTTAATTTTCTTTTTCTTTTTTTTTTTTTTTGTCTTTTTTCCGTGTCCGGCAACGGATCGCAACCCTCAGTGTTGCCCCCGTACCGGACCGGGGACCGGCAACGGGATCGCAAGCCTCGGCGTTGCTCCCGCGCCTCGCTCAGCCAGTGAGCGGGAGCCGGTCTGTACGTGGGATCCGAACCCTCGGACGGGAGCGCTGCCGCGCTTCCCAAGCGGCGCACTATCCAGTGCGCCACCGGGCGGCCCCTTAATTTTCTTTTTAGATTGTTTATTTTTATTGTATAGAAATGTAACTGACTTTTGGGGTGTTGACTTTGTTGTATCCTGATACTTAGCTGATTTCATTCTAACAGTTTTTTTGTGTGTGGAATTTTTAGGTTTTTTTTACTTACAAGATCATATCATCTGTGAACAAAGATAATTTTATTTCTTCGTTTCCAAATTGGATGCCTTTATTTATTTGTTTGTTTGCCTAATTGCTCTGCCTAGAATTTCTAGTACTATGTTGAATAAAAGTGGTGAAGTCAGGCATTCCTGCCTTGTTCCTGATCTTAGAGGAAAAGCTTTTAAGTCTCACCATTGAGTATGATATTTGCCATAGATTTTTCATATACTAGTATGGCTTTTTATTATGTTGAGGTGCTTTCATTCTGTTCTAGTTTGTTGAGTGTTTTAATCATGAAGGTGTTGAATTTTGTCGAATGCTTTTTCTGCATCAGATATCGTGTGGTGTTTGTCCTTCATTCTGTTAGTGTGATACATTAGATTGATTTTTGTATGTTGAACTATCATTGCATTTCAGAAATAAATCCTACTTTGGTCATGGTGTATAATGCTTCTTTTAAGCTGATGAATTTGTTTGCTAGTATTTTGTTGAGGATTTTTGGATCAATGTTTATAAGGAATATTGGTCTGGATCAGTGTTCATAAGGAATATTGGTATGTAGTTTTCTTTTCTTGTAGTGTCTTTATCTGGCTTTATTGTAGGGGAATGTCTTATAGAATGAGTTAGGAAGTATTCCCTCTTCAATTTATTGGGAAATTTTGAAAAGTATAAGTGTTTGAGAGAATTTACTAGTGATGTTATCATGTCCAGGTTTTTTCTTTATTGGGAGATTTTTGATTACTGATTCAATCTTTCAACTAGTTGTCTCCTTGGATATTCTATTTCTCTGGGATTTAATCTTGGTAAGTTTTCTGTTTCTAAGAATTTGTTTATTTCAACTAGGATATCCAAGTTTTTTGGTGTAACATTGCTCATACTATACTCATATAACCCTTTTTTTTTTTTTGGTAGAATTGGTAGTAATATCTTCACTTTCATTTCTTTTTTTTTTTTTCCTTTTTTTCCTTTTTTTCCTTTTTTTGTCTTTTTTCGTGTCCGGCAACGGATCGCAACCCTCAGTGTCGCGCCCGTACTGGACCGGGACCGGCAACAGGATCGCAACCCTCGGTGCTGCGCGCGCACCTCGCTCAGCCAGTGAGCGGGAACCGGTCTGTATGTGGGATCCGAACCCTCGGCGGGAGCGCCGCTGCGCTCCCAAGCGGCGCACAGTAGCAGTGCGCCACCGGGCCAGGCCCCCACTTTCATTTCTGATTTTAGTAATTTGAATCTTTTAGTCCTAGCTAAATGGTTGTAAATTTTGTTGATCTATTCAAAGAACCAAATTTTGATTTCATTGATTTTCTTTTTTTTTCTAATTATATTTCTGTTCTTTATTTGATTTATCTCTGCTGTAATCTTTATTATTTTCTTCCTTCTACTGGCTTTGAATTTAGTTTTCTTTTTTTCTCCCTACTTCGTGAAGTTATAAAGTTAGGTTGTTGATTTGAGATCTTTGAGATCTTTGTTTTTGCTGCCTCTAATCAGTTTTGATATGTTGTTTTTATTTTCTTTCATCTCTATGTATTTTCTAATTTCTCTTGTGATTTTTTTTGATCTATTGGTCATTTAAGAGTGTGTTGTTTGATTTGCAAAAATTTGTGAGTTTTCCAGTTTTACTCCTGTTATTGACTTCTAACTCCATTTTGTTATTGTTGGAGTAAATATTTTATAGGACATTCATCTTTTTAAATCAGTTGAGACTTAATTTGTGGCCCAGCATATGGTCTGTCTTAGAAAGTGGTCCATATGCACTTGAGAAGAATGTTTATGGTGGTGTTGGTTAGAGTATTCCGTATGTGTGTGTTAAGTCTACTTGGTATATTATGTTAAGTTTTCTATCTCCATACCTTCTCTCTGATTGTTCTGTCTCTTAGTGAGATTGGGCATTGAAGTATCCAGCTAGTATTGTAGAACCATCTTTTTCTCCCTTCAATTATGTCAGTTTTTATTTCATTAATTTTGATCACATGTTACTAGGTATGTAAATGTTTATAATTATTGCATCATCTTGCTATATTTCAGAAAATGGAGGAGAAAGAAACACTTTTTGTCTCATTTTATTAGGCTAAGGTTATTCAATTACTAAAGCCAAAGACATCACTTACAAAACTACAGACCAGTATCCATCATTGATATATTTGATTTAAGGTCTGTTTTGCCTAATAATTGTATTTGCTCTATTTTAGTTACTATATACATGGGATATGTTTTTCCATTCTTTTAATACATTCATGTCTTTTTATCTAAAGTAAATCTCTTGTACACAGCATATAGTTGGACCATGTTTTTTGTTTTTTGTTTTTTTTTTCTTTTTGTCTTTTTTACTGACCTGTAATGGGATTGCAACGCTCGGTGTCGCGCCCGCACTGAGGACCGGCAATGGGATCGCAACCCTCGGTGTTGCGCCCGCACCGCGCTCAGCCAGTGAGCGGGAACCGGTCTCCACATGGGATCCGAACCCTCAGCGGGAGCGCCGCCGCGCTCCCAAGCGGCGCACTCTCCAGTGCGTCACCGGGCCGGCCCTGGACCATGTTTTGTATCCATTCTCCTAATCTGTATCTTTTGATTGGTAGGTTTAATCCATTTTCATTTAAAGTTATCTTTTACTTTAAAAATTTTTTTTAAATTTTAACTTCTCAATATCGTAGTCGATTTTCATGACCCTTTACCCATTCCTCTTCCCCCCTTGCTTTCTCACCTCCCCTTTACATCATATCTGTTCACTTGTCTTAAAAAGTTCAAGGAATTGCTGTGATTGTTGTGTCTTCTGCCC